AATGTGTTTCAGCGGCATTTACCGACCGCTGCAGTGCTGGCCGGCTGCTCTTCCACGAGTGTATTCTCCCGTTAGCTCCGGGTTAGCTCACACGGCTCTAAAGTATTCACTGTCTGACTGTCACACAAGCAGCTGATACATATCCCCAGTTCCCCTTAAGTGAATGTGTGTCAGTCTGAATTGACGCTGTTTGGTGTCAGTCTGAATTGACGCTGTTTGGCATCACAACGCTGTTATGAAAGTTTCTCTGGTATAACATGGGTGATGTTAGCATAGCAACCGAAGCTAAACTGACTACTTGCTAAGCAGTTTTCTACAGGCACTTTTTACCGACGTATTTTTCATTATGATTCTACTTGTGATAGTCGGACATGACAACCTGTGCAGCCCATGTATTGATTCCATCCGATAGCTGCTATAATAACAAACAAAACGTCTGCCTGCTCTCCACAATGATCAATAACAGCGAACGGATGGTCAAAGTAAGGTACAAATAAACAGAATCACACGAAGCCTGGTTAGTGTTGCCTGACTTTATAAAGTGTGTTTTTTTTAACAAGTGTGTGGTTGCGTTCTAGTCACTTTGCTCAGCACTACTGCTTGTTACAACTTTTATTTGCCGTACTCGCCTTAAGTGTTAGCTCAGGTTAATCTCGCCCCCCTCCGACGTAAGCGTGACGTATGCGGTTCTTGCTTCTAGACGGACAACTTTTTGGTGCTCGAAACGAACCGGATTCCGGAGCTATGACGCTGCTCCGCTGCGGTGTGAACAGGAAAACCCGGTGCTTTTCAAGCACCAGCACCGAACCGGCCCTGAAACACCGTTGGTGTGAAAGGGGTATTAGTGGACGAGGACTTCAGCAGGCATTGCTATAACAAGGATTTATTTTCAATCCGACTGTAATGGATCTCTGTTCCCATTGAACATGGTAATCATCCAAAAGTTAGTGGAGTGGTGCAGTGATGAAGTATTACTGTAGTACAACCTGGAAGTTAGCATCGCAAGGGCTCCCTCCACAATATGCCAATGGGATTTTTACATTGCGGATTATTGCAGAAAATAATCTCTGTGTAAAACAAGCTTTTATTATACTACACATATTAAAGGTGGGGTAGGTAATTTTGGAGAAACCAGCTCGAGTGCGGTAGAATTTGAAAATTCACAGCCGGAAAAGATCTGCCACTTCCTTACAGAGCCCGTCCTCCAACACACACGAACACGCACAGGACCAATGAGGGCACGAGATAAGTTTGTGCACAGATGGAAGGCTGACAGGCAGGTAGGCCATCCAGTTATTTTAGCCGGGCCGGCTCAGATGATTGGTCGTGCTTTTTACAGTACTACGGCTTCCACAGATGACATTTTTTTATGGATTTTTTGTCAAAGCACTTAAGATATTCATTGCTATCGGGATGTTAAGAGCATTCCATGGAATATAACAAAAAGTGTATCTCGAGCTGGTTTCTCAAACTTACCTACCCCACCTTTAACACCACTTTATGATTTTTGTATTAATCAGCTAAATTGCACAGTTAAAAAGGGTTTGGCTGCTGATGGTGATCTAAGTCCTAATTGGAGAACATATATATTGAAGGAAAATTAGCTGATGTGCTAAAGTTATAGCATTTCCCATTGCATTTCAAATATAAAACAAAAAACATATCAAGATAACAAGCAGTAAAACGATAGGAGATGTGAAATTGGTTCAATTATAACTCAAACTGCCTGATCAAAGCTCATCGATCACTCAGATGAATTCACTGACCTCCCTACTTAAAACAAGCTTTTATGATACTCCACATAAAATACCACTTTATGGTTTTGAAGTAACAAGCTAACGTTAGGTTATAAAGGAACTACAGCACGGTCACATGACTTCACGTCACCACCGCTAAGCTAAAGGCAACGTGATTACGTGTTATTTCGACACTTGTTAGCAATCGCCGTTTTTAAATTCACCAGTGGGGTATTTCGTGGAATAAAAATCTCTTCATCTTGTGTTAACCACATACCTTATTTCAGTCTAAAAACCACAATCACATTGAAAAACACATTGACTTCCAGACCAGATACAGGAAGTGGTGACTAATGCTGACTCATTTCTGGGTTTAAGGACTCATTGCTGCTCCACTCATCAACATGGCTGTTTTCCCTGCTAAACACCACCGATGTGCAGGATATCAAACAGGTGCAAACATCCAGCTGCTTCCACACAGAGTGTTTCACCCTCTGGGCCACTGTGAAGGCTTGTGTTTGTGCCGAGTATCTTCCAAGAGTCAACATGTGAATTGTGTACCAGGTACTCCTGAGAGTGTGTGTTCAGTCAGAGCAAACAGAGTAGCTGTAGACCTGGCTCCATGTTTTTACAAACAAACACACAGTCAGTGCCCGGAGTAATGAGCTGCATCCTAACGTCAATGTGTTCTCAACACAACTCCATTGCTCCATAAACACAAAGTGAGCAGCTGCTCAGTGCTATGCATAATAGTTATAAGTCCTCCTCTGCACACTTTATGGATAAGAGTCCTGCGTCTGGGGAGAATGCAACCAGGCAAGAAGAATCACTTATTATCTCCAAACATGCACATCCACTCACTTGTAATCTTGACTTAATTTGCTGTGGAGCTTGGTGTTAACATCAGATTTCATTGCTAGCTGCTTAACAGGAGCCTAATAAAAGAGAGAGCTTGTGCACGTTTGGTTATTAAAAATCATTCTGGATAAAGATTGGACAAGTGCAGTTGGATAAGAATCATAATACTCTATTTATCCTGGAGGTAATTAGTACGGAAGAGGATTAGGGCCATATAAAAATACATTTTTGGGGATGTGAAATGTGCACATTATACTAAAATATATAACAGGTTTATTCGTTGTATACAGTTGTGTATTAGTATTAATCAGTTTTAATGCTAAATTGCACAGTTAAAATGGGTTTGGCTGCTGATGGTGATCTAAGTCCTAATTGGAGAAAATATATATTGAAAGAACATTAGCTGATGTGCTAAAATCATAGCTTTTCCCATTGCATTTAAAATATATATTTTTTAAAAACATATCAAGACAAACAAGCAGTAAAACGATAAGAAACATGAAACTGGTTAAATTATAACTCAAACTGCCGGATCAAAGCTCATCGATAACTCAGATGAATCCACTGACCTCACAGTCAATTTCACTGAGACTATTGTTGTTAGCGGTTTACAAAAGTTTGAGTACCAACATTTTCAATTGAACTGGATTTTATCTGTAAATTAGAATGACTTTCAAGTGCAGATATCTGAAAACCACGACCTAAAACCAAATCATACTCCCAATAAAAGTGAAAAGTGACACATTTTTGGTGATTTTGGAGGAACTGACTGGACACTTTGCAGGTTCATTATGTTCCTTTTAACAGAAAGCTTCTCCAGGACAGAGGCGTATATTATATACTGTCCAGTCAGGTCTCAATATATCTAACACCCCGAAGAAAAGAGCTCACACTCTCCATTATCTGAGCAGTAAATCACAATCATGGCAGGAGACGGGTGTTGTGTTGCAGGCAGAGAGTGTGAACAGTGAATTGCAAGAACAAAATAATATGTATTGCAGCTCTTTTCATATGTGGGTGTTTTTTTTTGTTGCTGTGTGTTAGGCTCGAGCACAAGTTCTAAAAGGTCTCATTGAACTAGGTTATTTTCGGAAACAACAACTGTATTTGTGCGTGTGACTCAGGTGGGTTTTCTGTTTCATTTCAGGTTCAAAATGTACCTACTGTATGAGGGCCTCTAAAAGACAATAAATGGCTGCCTCTGCACTGGAAATGACACCCATCTGTCTCTTATTCCCTGTTTACCTACACACATTACAAGTAATTCTACGTTGATCCAAACCAACCAGTGGCCACAATGTGAGAAGACCGACCTCAGAATCAAGGAGGACATTTGCAAGGAGTGTGAATGGATAAACTGTTTGAGATAAATTGGGTTTATTGATGGTCTTACTGGGAAATATCATTTAGAAACTGATAAAAAGCTCATGTGTGGTTCAGGCTGCGCAATAATTGTGTCTGTTACTATGGTTACTGTGTCAAATTACGCCATAAAGAGTGAAAAGCTACGTCTTATTAAAGCTTGTCGTACGATAATTGCAATTTCATAGGAAAGACCGACTTCCAGGAACAAAAAGGTCCACAAATTCTCGTATGATATTGGGTGATGCTGTTGGAAAATCATGAAAAACTAAAATCATTGTGTCATCATCATGGAAGACAAGACTGAAATTGGACCAAATATTTGGCAGAAATTGGGATTATTTATGGTAGCAGCTGATTATGAATGCAGATGGTGTAGGATAGGGGTATTCAACTAAAATTCAACGAGGTCCGGTTAGAGAAAATCTCCCCATGCAAAGGTCCGGAACATCAAAATGTCTAAGTTGCTTTATGAATTAGTGTGAGATATATTGAAGTAGCCTGTAGCTTTATCAACAACTGACTGCCAATCAAATAAAGAAAGTACAACTCAAAAACAACAATATTTATTGTCAATTAACATTGAACTATACAGATATACAGTAAATACTGTGGATATGTGTAATGTTCCTCTCGGGCTGCATTTAAGAATAAAATAGGAAAAAATAAAATAGCTTTTGAAAATGTGTGCATCTTAAAAGTGCTTCATTTTAGATAAATAAATAAAGTGTAGCAGCAGCTTTCCCTTTTTCTTTGGTAACCGTTTCACATCATGACTTAACAGTTTCAGACGATTATAGAACATATCAGTCTTTACACATCATAACAATTGAACAGTTTTAAAGTTTCTCTTTCTTTCCCTCTTATATTCCAGACCGTGGTCCGCCTGTTAGTGAACTATGGTGTAGGACATATGCAGATTTCCACCAAATCCAAACTCACAGCTAAATAACACCCTCTAATTTTTGGAAGTACAATGTACCATTGGTATTCAGCTTTATAGGTCTTGGTGTGTTTGGTGTTTGTGCTTGAGTGCTGCCTTACCACCAGTCTCACTGTCATGGTAGTTTGGATCGAAGCCTCTCTCCAGCAGCTTCAACACTTTGTCCACCTGATTATGTTGGATGAGGTCCATGCACTTCCTCAGATTGGCCTGTGCAACCAGAGAAAAGAAAGAGCTATTACACTGAGAAGAAGGAACAAATGGTGGTGGGAGTGAGAGACGAAAAAAGGCAGGAAAACGAGAATAGAAGTTGCCAAAGAAGGCAGTGTAGAGGGTCAAATATAAGTGAGACTGAAAAGTGTACATGTAAAGGAATACATTGAGAAACTGAGGGAGACTTGTGGGTGAAGACAGAGGAATAAAAGGCGGGTGAAAGCATGAAGCAGAGGAGGGCAAGGTGACAGGATTCAGAGCGTGGAGATTGTGGGGAGTTCGATGACTGCTCCTTTCTGTTCCCGTCTGCTTTCTTTCCAGGCCGCATGATAAAAATAGATAACAGAGCAGCTCCCCGAAGGAGAGCAGAAAATGAGGAATAAAGAGTGAGATAGCAGGAGAAAAAAATGGGAAGCAGAAATAAAAGAATAGACTGAGAAGAGAGGCACGTAATAAATGAGGAGGTGTAAAAAGCCAAGGACACGGGGTGGGAGTAGAATCAAATACGAAGGGATGTCCTCTTCCCACCATCCCATTGTGTTGCCCCAGATCCAAGTGAATCAGCCAATACACAGGAGAAGATATTCATTTCTTATTATCATTTTAGTTTATAGCCTTGTACAGCTGTGTTGCACTCGTTCAGGGCAATCTTTGGGAGTATTTTAAAGTGTTTAAATATGCAAGAACTGAGGAAAGTATTCCCAGTAGAACCTCAAAACAGAAAAGTTAAATGCAAAATTCTCAAACGCAGAATTGTTGTCAGTGAGATACCTTACCATTGAACCTGGGTGTACATTATTTCAATGTTTTCAATAAAAGGCTATCATACCCTTAATGATATCCTTTCTAAGTAACAGTGGTCAATTCTGATATACTTTTTAATATAGAAAAGGGATTCTGAGCGATTGCACAACACTTTATGCAAACAGCAAACAATAAGTCAATGTATTTTCTGGAACTCTGACTTGGTTTCCAGTTTGTAATTCTGGGCATTTTGTTAAAGCTAACATTGTCGTAGAAACTTAAAATTATCGTAAAATAGGTCAGGATTTATTTAACCAATAATATATGCCGAACCTGGGTTTATTTATATCCTATCCCTTCAAAGACATCCATGCTTAGAGGATCTTCATTGCTTTCTAGAGTTTCATATCATTGATATCAGGACAGCAGTAAGTCGAAACATCATTTGTCACAGACTGAAAACCCACTTGAATGCCCCTTGGCCAATAAAACAAACAACAAAATCTCTAGGAAATGTAGTAGCACTTAAACAAATTGGATTTATCGATAGCGAAAGTACCTGCAGGATTCTTGCTTTTGAGTTTGCTTCTGGATGGTTGATTGCACGTATTGTACAGTAAGTAGGTTTGGATAAAAGGGTCAGCTAAATGTAATAAATGTAAGTATGTCAATAGCCTGGTCCCATTACTTCTTAATATCGCTGATCATGACAAAATACCACCCCCCAAACTGATAACAGCTAACATATGATCAGCATATTAAATGACCGTTATCTGTTCTTATCAGAAGTATAGATCTTATAGTTGTCAGAGTAGACCGTTATCATCTATAGGTAGACCGTTATCATCTATAGGTAAGCTGTATCAACGCAGGAAGGATAAAAAGTATTATGCGACGACCTCTAGTGGCCGTTATTAAGTATGACAGGTGCAAAGAAGAAATTAAGATAACAAACTTTCAGATTTGAACCAAAACAAGGATGTTATTCTGAACTAACCCAAGTAGTTTAGTGGCCTCAACCTTAACACATTGTTTTGTTTCAATGCACAGTTTTAATCAGAAACATTTCACTTTCACAACATGAGGGTATTCAAACATCTGAAGCATTTTGTCGGTAGAAATAACAACCTTGTTTAATTGAATTTAATAAGCTGATAACTTCTGAAATTGTTGATGAAATACAGATGCAAAAACAAACTAAAGATTGACTACTGATCCTATAGCCAATACCAATCCACCAACTATTATAAGATATTACAACCTTAATGTTTATTGGTTTAACCTGTTAAGCCCCGAGCCTGTTTTTCAGGTTTCAGGCTCGAAAATGACATGCCCAAAACAAATGACTACAACTTCACTTCTAAAAGGGTTATATGAATAATTTATTTTATCAAAGCAAGGTTACATCTGTGAGTTGGATGTAGAAGTGTCAGAATCAATATAGATTTTTCTCAGTCAGAGTAAATTCAGATGGAACATAGTAAAAAAAGGTAAATTCTTACCTCCGCCTAAAGAAAAAACATTACTTATAGTGAAAACTACCCTTGAATGAACACATGTGGTTTTATACCTGAGGTTCTTTGTATACCTGATGATCATTGCGTAATAGTTTAATGAAATCAGTTTCTGTTTAGATAACAGCCAAGATGAGTCACTGCCGGTTCAATATCTGGAAATGTCAGGGGTTCACGTACATGGCCCTGCGTTTCAAAGCAATGTTTTATTTAATCTAGCTGATATGTCCTCTGTGTGTGTGTGTGTGTGTGTGTGTGTGTGTGTGTGTGTGTGTGTGTGTGTGTGTGTGTGTGTGTGTGTGTGTGTGTGTGTGTGTGTGTGTGTGTGTGTGTGTGTGTGCAGGCCTAGTGAATCAGAGTCTGGAGGACGAAGCTTCCTCTCTCTCTCTCTCCTCTTCTCTCCCTCTACTTCTCTCTTTCTGCTGAAACAGGTTGAGAGGATGGCGGTTGATTGGCTGTCTCAGCGTGAGCTTGAGCCAACCACTGAGCTCCAGACTGCAAAGACATTTAGCTCCAAAAAGCTGGGTCAGGCCAAAAAAGAAAGAAAGAAAGAAAGGACTCAGCGTCAGAAGTTGGACTCATGACTTCTGCTCGTGTTCATCAGCTCTCCGCTCCACATTCACAATAACTTATTTTCCCTTTTCATTTTTCGTTTCGCCGTCCTCTCTGTAGAATTAGAGCAGCTGTCAGACAGTTTCCCAGTGAGCTGCTGACAGAGAGCTGCCAGAGTCACTTATACTTTGGCTGCAGGATTACAGCAGCCATGGGACAGGAGCCCAGAACTAGCCTTACACAACGAAGAGGAGGCTCATCATCTTCAGTTCACTGTAGAGATGTACTTCATGTGGGAGAAACAGAGCAACGGGAGGATCCTTCTGTCGGGGCTGGCAGGAAAAAGAGACACTTCTTCTGAGCAGCCTTACATATATCATCAAAGAGCAACAGAACACTGAAAATAAGCCCAAATTGGCAGGTAAGCTACACTGAGCGATGCTTGCAGTGTTTTCCCACCCATCACACACTTCAAGCTGCCAAGAACGAAGGCAAACAGACACAAACTGCCTCTTTACCCCAATCATCCAAAGAAGCTGCTTAATATTTAATGCAATCTGTGCGTTTTATTACATTTTTGCAACACCTCTAGTGTGAAAAGTTATTACTGTGGAGGTTTAACAATGCAATTCCCAGTCAGGCAGATGTGGGCGGCACTGTGACATCCTTTTCTTTCATTTCTATGCCTCAGCTGCTCATGCTCTCTCGACTGTTTCCCTTAACAGTGTGGAGAGAGGCAGAGTCTATAGCTTAGATAAGATAAGATAGAATAAGATAAGACAGGATAAGAAAAGATAAACCTTTATTAATCCCCATTGGGAAATGCAGAGCCTCCACACAACTTCTGGAGGCGATATTCAGTTTTTATGCTCCATAGTATATCAACTTAAATGAAATCCCTGACAACTGGCTTGAATTAAATCAAATCTTGTTCTAATTTCTGTTTTAAATTCAGGATTGCATTGTGTCTCGTCGCAGATGATGTGGTTCTGTTGGAGTCATCACTCAGCGACCTTCAGCACTCGTTGGGTCGGTTTGAGGAATGAGGATCAGCACTAAATCTAAATCTGAGGACATGGTTCCCAGCAGGAAAGAGATGGACTGTCCACTCCGAGTTGGGAATGAGTTCTTACCCCAAATGAAGGAGTTCAAGTCTTGTATTTGAGTGAGTGGAGCGTGAGATGGGCCGGAGAATCAAAGCAGCATGAGCAGTCTAGTGATGAAGAGAAAGCTGAGCCAGAAAGCAAAACTCTCAAGCAAAAAGCGGTCCGTCTTCATTCCTACTCTCACTTATTGTTCATGAAGTTTGGGTCATGACCGAAAGAACAAGAAGAAGTTCAGTCATCCGGGAGGTCCCTACTACGACTCCGGATAAGCGGTTGACGACGGATTTAGACTCCCTTTTATTATTCATTTATTTTGCATCTTATCTCAATGCTTTTTTAAGTTTTGTGCTGAGCGCTCTGAATTGCCTTGTTGATGAAGTGTCAATTAAATGGCGTCCAGTAAACAGTGTCATAGATTACTTGTAATACCTTTGGCCTTTTTCTTTTCTTTTAAATGTTACTGTATGTCTAAGATCTCCAACATTGTCTGTATACAGAGTTGATATTGTATAATACAAGCTTTTTGTTTGAGATGGGAAAAACATGTCTAGGTAAAGTGGTGTCTTTGCAAAAGCTGGCACTCATTGTGAGATGAATCTTTGTCAAATGTCTCTGAGAACCAACTTGCTTTTAAAGGAACTACAGACACTGGCCAAAAACAAGATTAAAGGTTCATTATTTGGTGAGTTTTCTTCACAAAAGGATCAAACTTGTACCTTTGTGTGAAGTTTGGCAATCTGTTTCTCGTCCACATCGGGTTGCTTGTAGACTCTGCTCTTGTAGCGGAACTGTTGAGCAAACAACAACTTATTAATAAAGAAAATATGGGTCCAACAGAGATTACAATAAGGCTGATTATTTTACTCCTCTGGGTGCGTGTTGAAAGATATTTTTCCATACATATATAGAGGATTGCTAGGGGATCAAGATGTGTCCTCTTCATGGCGCATTCATTTATTTTTATTTCAATCTTTGAGGGTGTTTGAGGGAATGTATAATGAAAAAATATTTCGTTTGTCAATATTTGATGGATCATTTCACTTATTTTGTATTTTAACATGACTTTCCCGCAGGTACGTATCCAGTATTGTTCGTCCTTCTGAAGGCTTTAACTTTTTAAAACCAAACAGACCTGAATATTAACCGATGAAAAACACAAATCAATTTTAGATAAATAAAACAAAACAGTGTTTCCCCAGTGGACACAGGATAAAGAGCTAAAGTTTGCTCTTGTAAAGGTCTTCAATGACATCCACTTAAACACAGACAGTGGCAGAACTTCAGTGTTAGTATTATTAGATCTCAGTGCTGCATTTGACACTGTTGACCACAACATATTACTAGACCGACTAGAAAACTGGGTGGGACTTTCGGCAACAGTTCTAAATTGGTTTGAGTCCTACTTAAAGGACAGAAAAAACTTTATTTCTATAGGTAAATACACATCTGAGTTGACAAATATGACATGTGGGGTACCTCAAGGCTCCATCTTGGGGCCTCTTCTCTTTAACATCTACATGCTACCACTGGCTCAGATAATGAAAAACAACAAAATAAGTTACCATAGCTATGCGGATGACACACAAATTTACGTAACAATTTCACCAGGAGATTATGCTCCAATTCAAACACTGAGTAAGTGCATTGAACAAATCAATGACTGGATGTGTCAGAACTTTCTCCAATTAAACAAAGATAAAACTGAGGTAATGGTTTTTGGAGCCAAGGCAGAACGTATAAAAGTTAGCGCTGAGCTTCAGTCTGCAATGTTCAAAACAACAGATAAAGCCAGAAATCTAGGTGTAGTCATGGACTCTGACCTGAGTTTCAACAGTCACATTAAAACAGTTACTAAATCAGCCTACTATCACCTAAAGAACATATCTAGGATTAAAGGACTAATGTCACAGCAGGATTTGGAAAAACTTGTCCATGCTTTTATCTTCAGTAGACTCGACTACTGCAATGGTGTCTTTACAGGCCTCACTAAAAAATCTATTAGAAAGCTGCAGCTAATTCAGAACGCCGCTGCTCGAGTCCTCACTAACACTAAGAAAGTGGATCACATCACTCCTGTTCTGAAGTCTTTACACTGGCTTCCTGTGTGTCAAAGAATAGATTTCAAAAATATTGTTGCTGGTTTATAAAGCTTTGAATGGTTTAGGCCCAAAATACATGTCTGACCTCCTGCTAAATTATGAACCATCCAGAACCCTCAGGTCTTCAGGGACTGGTCAGCTTTCTGTCCCCAGAGTCAGAACTAAACATGGTAAAGCAGCATTCAGTTATTATGCTCCGAATATCTGGAACAAACTCCCAGAAACCTGCAGGTCCGCTGCAACTCTTACTACTTTTAAATCCAGGCTGAAGACTTTTCTTTTTGCCGCTGCTTTTAATTGAACTATTCACATCTTAAACTGCACTGTAACTTTTAACTTTTATCCATGTATTTTTTCTTTTAATGTTTATTTTATTATCTTTCCTTTTTAATGACTGATTTTAAATGCCATTTTTAAAATGTCTTCCATTTTTGTAAAGCACTTTGAATTACCTTGTGTTGAAAGGTGCTATATAAATAAACTTGCCTTGCCTTGCCTTGCCTTGCCTAGAGGGAACTTTGGGATTTTCGCAGACCATTGAACAAAAACGATATAGCACACTACAGGAGAGGGGAAACCGCAAAATGGTCCCCTTTGGAAATTAAGTACCAGATCCATTTTAAGACACTTGGTGCGGAAAGTTTACAAGATATATTTACCTGTAATACAAAGTATATTTACACTCAACTGATATATTGACCTAATTCATATCAGATTATTAAGTGATAGACTGATCATTATTTTGAAAAATTGAAAAATCCTGGTGTACAATCAAATAATATTGACATGAGTTTGGACATATTACTGTATACTTAAAGGTGGGGTAGGTAAGTTTGAGAAACCGGCTCGAGATACACTTGTTGTTATATTCCATGGAATGCTCTTAACATCCCGATAGCAATGAATATCTTAAGTGCTTTGACAAAAAATCCATAACAAAATGTCATCTGTGGAAGCCGTAGTACTGTAAAAAGCACGACCAATCATTTTAGCCGGCCCTGCTAAAATAACTGGATGGCCTACCTGCCTGTCAGCCTTCCATCTGTGCACAAACTTATCTCGTGCCCTCATTGGTCATGTGCACGTTCGTGTGTGTTGGAGGAGGGGCTCTATAAGGAAGTGGCAGATTTTCTCCGGTTGTGTATTTTCAAATTCTAGCGATCTCGAGCCGGTTTCTCAAACTTACCTACCCTACCTTTAAGTAGTTTATGCAACAACTTTCTTATTATGTATTGATTTCAACAAGGACCATGCATACAAATACATTCATCTCAGAAAAGAGAAGAGATGAATAGAGTGCCACAATGACGCGTCCTAAAACCCGGAAGTAAGCTTCTTCCGGTTCCCTCGACAAAAAAGTCTGTGGTTGACACACATTTAATAAGAGACAGATCACGTTTTGTTCAGTCGGATAATCTCCACATGTCTACCCTACTTTTATAATTTTATAATCATAAATCTAATCAATGATAGATTTTATGATTTTGTCGAGGGAACCGGAAGAAGCTTACTTCCGGGTTTTAGGACGCGTCACTGTGGCATTCAATTATGCCAGATTATAGCTAATAGCTCATTTCCATCTGCAGTCCTTAGGTAGGTACATAACAATCAACAAACACTAAAAACCTAAAAAGCTCAATCACACAAACAATTATAAAACATGATTAAGTACAGGTCAATAAAATAATACATAGTACAGTTAAAATATAATATCTCACATTGAATTATTGAGTATATTTGATTCTATCACTACTAATTTGAGGAATAATCCAACTGGTCAATAGTTTACCTCCAGGGATGGGACCCCCTTGGTGATTGGCTGAGGGTACTCTCTGAAAATGCGCTCTTCTTCCAGGAACTTCCCGTCCCTCCCATTGCTGGCCGGCTGGAAAAGCCCATAGTTGAGCACGTCTTTGAGGGTCTGATTCAGCGTGCACAGGATCCGCTGCTTTGCAACCCAAACGGTTGCATCCGGGTTGAACCGCATGCATTTCTGAATAGGACAAAGGATGGAAAGACAAATTGATCAAACAGAAATGGCTTGAGTGTTGGCTGACAGTCTGTACAGTCACCACAAAGGAAAGACACATACTTAATTAGGGAACTGGACTTTCAGACTGTGATTGACGGATACAAATGGTTGGGTTGTAAGAGCAAGTAATGGAATCACAGAACAATGGCGTACAATAACAGTAGTTCAGAGAGATTGAAATCGGTGCTTTAATAAACACAAACCCTGTCCCAGTTATAAACCACGTAACCCTGCCAAGCCTTTTGATTGTTTATTGTCACCGTGCAACATGCTGAACAGGGCCACTGCGCTCACTGAGGATGTAATTGACACGACCCCTTGCGCCCCCTTGTCCTTCCCAATGCAATCTTTTCTGCAGGGAAAAAACACACAATGCAGAATTTCTGGCCCCGGTCTGATTCAGCGAGGATTATGGGCTCTGTGCCGTGGCATTTGGGAAGTGTGTGTTCGTGTTTACAGCAGGACGCGCTGCTCAGCCGGTGATAGCAGCCCTGCGTCGGCGATAAAGGCTGAAGGGATGAGCCGTCTGTGAACTCTTCGTAATCCTCCCGCCTGGCGACGAGTGGCACAGGAGGGGAGAGGAAGGGAGGATGAAGGTTGAAGGTATACAGAAGCAGATGTCTGGCATCTGGCAGGGCTGTTCAGACTGATAGGGTCTGCCTATATTCTGCTGGTTTATAACAGTGGCACATTTCCATAAGCTGCAGCTCAACTTATATAATGTGTATGAAGTTTTTTTTGTATTAGTCAATTTATTGAACATGTCAGAAACAAAACAAAAAACAATAATAATAATTAGAAAAGCAAAACAAACAAAAACGTTCAAGGTGCAAAAAAACCCAATAAATTATCAAATAGTCTCCGTCATGTTCAACAGGGGCAAGAAGAAGCTTATAAACTTTTCTGGTACCCCTCTAGCGTACATTTTTCTTGAAAATAAAAGATTAGGTCATCGTCATCTGCATCCGTGATATTGGATTCATTGTTTTAAACAAATACATTTTTTTGTACAAAACAACCAAAAATAAATAACTTTTACAATGACAAGAAATAACAAGTATGAGTTCACAGGTCCTGCTCAGAACCATTAATGATTTGGTTTCTAAATAATAGTTTTAGTTTAGATAAACTTTTTGTTGTGATGCAATGAAGTTTTGGAATTTGTTCGTAAGTTTGCAAAGTACTGGAGTCAAATTTAAATAGAGAAGAGGCTATGATAATGGCACATGTGTGCAGAGGGATCAAAGATGACTCCAACCCAAGACCCAGGGGAAGCACCTGCAAAGGTCTTTGGTATTATTTTTAAAGTTTGTTATCAAAAGAGCGTGAACACATCAATGACCTATGAGCAATTTCTTATGGGAATAAGACCCAGGAAGAACCATCTTAGGTCTGAACTTTCCTGGTACATTTGTCCAGTTTAACCATTGAAGAAGAGTCTATTTTCCATTGTGAAGAACACATCTCTGTGGAAATGGTCCAGTTGAGGGCAATTTAATGTAAACTTTAAGCAATTAGCTGTTAGCATACGGCAGAAAGGTTTTACATGGCTAAATGACAGAGCTAACAGCTAATGCTAATACAGGTTGTATTGAACTACACTACGATACAGTATGTTTAAGCTATTTTCAAATTTGATATTGTACAATATTGTGTTTGGTGAGAAACTTAAATAGATACTGAGTTGTACCAACATCGATTCAAAATAGAGATTACAAAGAACTGTGACCTGTTTATCTTCTTAAAACTATCTATGAGAAGATTTTAACACCTTATTAGAACTACTAATTCCAAGATCTTTTTTGTAACCAAAGCAAATATTTAAATAACATGAAATCAATTATTTCCTGATAACTTGAATTGTGTGTTTTTAATGCAAATAACCACTATAGATGATAAAAACAACGTAAAAGAGTAACATTACGAACTTCGTGACATTACACACTTACTTACTTACAGTCCAAACTTATCTTTGGGACAGTTTCAGGACTTTGGTAAAATAAATAAGTCTGAAGCCCTGCATTTCTAAATTCTGTCCTAATTCTTGGTTACCATAGGTCTTATTGAACCCTGTTCATTATCACAGAAGTGTTTGTTATGTATGCGTCACATCAGGTGTGACTGTGCCTTTAAGATGGCACCGGGAGTTTGGGGATGTGTGAACCGGACACAAGCTAGTTGTTGTTGTGTTGCCATGGCAGCGTGTTCAATAAACGGTCAACCTAAAAGTTGTAGTCCATAGTCTTATTAAACACAACAGTGTTGTCTTAATATTACAAAATGAAAGCATGTGGTTAACAGTGACAAAATAAGAGCATCTACTGTAGTACAAGCAGTTTTTCGTGGATTAATTAGTGTTCAAATTCAAAACAACTTTATAAATCCCCCAGGTGGCAATTAGTTACACGGAGCCTGTACACAAAGAAACACAGAAACAAACAACAACATACTGTACAAACAAACAGATAGACAGAGGAGAGAAAATGTTGTACGAAATAGAATCTTCTTTAGTTGATAAATTGAACAGCTTTACAGGAGAAGTTCAGGACTAAGAAGGAATACATTTTTCATCGTCGTCTGACTTGATGATGTCTGCAAGTTTTTTCAACTGGCCACATTGGCTCAGCCTCAGCGTGTGATAATTGAAACTAGAAACATAAGTGGCTTTCCAGTTTTCTAAAACCCTCCAAACGTGGTCCAAGATCCAATTTAGAAAAGCTAGGTTGCTTGTCGGACCTCAAGTCTGCCATTGTGTCCAATCTTTTAATTATTACCCAAATGAGCTGTGAGAAGATGGTCTCTCCATCTGGAGGTAAGAGCTGTGTACTGGCATGAAATCAGAGGGGAGATGGATGAAATAGATTATAGGTTATTTGAGGAGGACAGTTTGAAGATTGTTGAAGAAGAAATACAGAAGAGGACCGCCGTTACAGCTGCCACCATCTTTCATTTCAAGGCTCCATATAACTGATTCAGAATGTGAGCAGAAAATAAGTTCAAGGAAAGGTACAACATTTTGTGAAATAGTTTCATTTTTTTGACAAGATTTAAAGAAGACTTTCAGTAAAGGTTTCAAGAGATTTAGAGCCAGGAAATGTACTTAGCTTAGCATTAAGACTGAAAGCATGAAGCGAGTATGGCTTTGTTGAAAGTTCCTGACACATTTAAAGCTACATCAAATTAAAACCTATTACTCTAAATTAAACCAAAAGTCGCTGTTTTTACATGCTGGTCTGTACAGATGGAAAAATTATACACAAAGTTTGGATTTGATTGAACTTTAAAGGTGTCAGTAACTTTCAACAAAGCCATGTTAACTCCCAGCTTAGTGGTAAAGCTAAGCAAAGCTAAACTAATCATCTCCTGGCTCAAAATCTGTGCACACCAAAATGAAAGTGTTACCGTTCATACATTTGCTAGGATACAACTAATAAGAAATAAAGTATTAATTGTGTGTTTTAGATGTGTAGCATGGTGTGCTTTAACATTGGGCAGAGTACATATATCTTTCATTTGCATATATTTCCTTTTTTATAACATGTATAAGAGTCAGGCTTTCCCTTCCTTCTAGTGTTAAAGTGTAATTTCTTCCAAAATGTCTTAATATTCTGTACACATATAAATGTATAGATATCTTATATATATATATATAGATATATTCATTCGATGTTGTCGTATCATAGAAAAGAAGGCAAGCATACCAGTAAGATATTATCTCTCATTCATGAAATGTCCAGACTGCAAAAGCAGTAATCTATACATCAAAGCTGCAGACGGAGGTCGGGGAGCGTTTGATTTATTCAACTGAGTTTGATTTAAAGTGGACCGTGTGACTAAATCATGTGATCAAGTGGCACAAAAAGTGCTCAGTGATGAAAGTGAAATGAGGATCAGGAGTGCATACATGTGAGAGATTAGTACACATGTGAGCACACGCACGCACGCACGCACGCACGCACGCACGCACGCACGCACGCACGCACGCACGCACGCACGCACGCACGCGCGCGCACGCACGCACACACACACACACACACACACACACACACACACACACACACACACACACACACACACACACACACACCTATGCTGGAGTTATATCAACTGAGCTAATTACATAAAGGGGGTCAAGAGTCTTCTCTGGGTCAGCACTGTACCTTGAGGATCCAACCCCACTAGATCACACAGACGTGTGCACACACACACGCAGGCGCACACACACACGCAGGCGCACACACACAATTACATTCCCCTGATTCTAGGCCAATTTTTACATCATAAAATAATTTATTTTATAAGGACGTGCATTTGTCCCCAAATTGAAGGTGTCCCCACAACGTCAGTAAAACAAGCCTGCACACACAGCGTTTTATTTCCATTAATTTAGACGACATAACGTTGACTAAATTAATTGTAATGATTTAAGTTACGGTGGTCTAGCAATTTATGAGAGCATTAAATTCAAGCGAGTTCCCAACATGTCACTGTGTCCCTACAAGAAGGTAAAACAAGCCCGCACACACAGAGAGCTGTGTTTCCATTACTTTGGAGCACATTACTCAACTTTATTGTCAATCTTTCAGTTTGTGTGTACAGACAGAGAGATCGAAATTCCGTTTCCCACTATTCCGAATACAATAACAAACATTACATTGACTTATACAGTATGCATACTGAACATTTGCCTTAACCCTAAATACTACTTGCGTGATTATCAACCTACAATAAGTTAAACCAAAATCGTAATCTTAAAGAAGACGTATCATGTTAATTTTCAGGTTCATATTAGTATTTCGTGTCTCAACTGTACCATACCATGCTTTATTGTTCAAAAAGCTCTTTATTTTTCTCATACTGCCTGTTCTGCAGCACCTCTTTTCACCCTCTCAACGACTTAGAGATGTCCCGCGTCTTAGCCTATCACGTACAATGTGTTGGAGAACTAGCCAATAGAAGAG